TGTCAGTTGGAAGGTGTTATATTACCCAGAGGTGCGGGGTGTCAGTTGGAAGATGTGATATTACCCAGAGGTGCGGGGTGTCAGTTGGAAGATGTGATGTCAACTAAAAATATTTGAATAATACACAATCTTCATTATTCATTTGCAGCTTTGGGGGATGCTATCCTACATGGTTGGTTTTTTGTCCTAAGGGGTATATTGTCCAAGAGGTTTTTGTCCTAAGGGGTATATTGTCCAAGAGGTTTTTGTCCTAAGGGGTATATTGTCCAAGAGGCTTTTGTCCATGGGGCCTTGTGCCCACAGAGGTTTTTGTCCACACACCATTATAACAAAGAGGCCTGCTTAAAAGTCGGATGGGAATCAATAAAGCTTAAAGAAGAGGTAGTCAGCATTCAAATCTGAAATTCTACGTTTCAGACAGCCTCCATTCGACAGAACCCTGATGGCAGAGCGAAGCAGGTGCGGGTTGTCAGTTGGAAGATGTTATCTTACCCAGATTGACAGGGTGTCAGGTGGAAGGTGTTATCTTACCCAGAGGTAAGGGGTGTCAGTTGGAAGATGTTATATTACCCAGAGGTGCGGGGTGTCAGTTGGAAGATATTATCTTACCCAGATTTGTAGGGTGTTAGTTGGAACGTGTTATATTACCCAGAGGTGCGGGGTGTCAGTTGGAAGATGTTCTATTAACAAGATTGGCAGGGTGTCAGTTGGAACGTGTTATATTACCCAGAGGTGCGGGGTGTCAGTTGGAAGATGTTATCTTACCCAGATTGGCAGGGTGTCAGTTGGAAGATGTTATATTACCCAGAGGTGGGGGGTGTCAGTTGGAAGACATTATCTTACCCAGATTGGCAGGGTGTCAGTTGGAAGGTGTTATTTTACCCAGAGGTGCGGGGTGTCAGTTGGAGCGTGTTATATTACCCGCAGGTGCGGGGTGTCAGTTGGAAGATGTTATATTACCAAGATTGGCAGGGTGTCAGTTGGAACGTGTTATATTACCCAGAGGTGCGGGGTGTCAGTTGGAAGATGTTATCTTACCCAGATTGGCAGGGTGTCAGTTCGAACGTGTTATATTACCCAGAGGTAAGGGGTGTCAGTTGGAAGACATTATCTTACCCAGATTGGCAGGGTGTCAGGTGGAAGGTGTTATCTTACCCAGAGGTAAGGGGTGTCAGTTGGAAGATGTTATATTACCCAGAGGTGCGGGGTGTCAGTTGGAAGATGTGATATTACCCAGAGGTGCGGGGTGTCAGTTGGAAGATGTGATGTCAACTAAAAATATTTGAATAATACACAATCTTCATTATTCATTTGCAGCTTTGGGGTATGCTATCCTACATGGTTGGTTTTTTGTCCTAAGGGGTATATTGTCCAAGAGGTTTTTGTCCTAAGGGGTATATTGTCCAAGAGGTTTTTGTCCTAAGGGGTATATTGTCCAAGAGGCTTTTGTCCATGGGGCCTTGTGCCCACAGAGGTTTTTGTTCACACACCATTATAGCAAAGAGGCCTGCTTAAAAGTCGGATGGGAATCAGTAAAGCTCAAAGAAGAGGTAGTCAGCATTCAAATCTGAAATTCTACGTTTCAGACAGCCTCCATTCGACAGAACCCTGATGGCAGAGCGAAGCAGGAACGAAACTCGTGAGGGTGAGGGTAAGTTCAGCTGTGCAAGATGCTATCAAGTCACATAACCCACGATTAGCTTGAACCTTTATGTTAACAGCATCACTAACGCAAGTCTAGCTCCAACGTTTGAATATAATGCTCAGCCGGTGTTGAAGAAGTGCTTGTGATGCACAGCTATGATACCACCTTTGAAAACTAATCCTGATCCTGTATCGTAGAGGTGACAGTGTACGTATCCCAGAACTAGCAGCACCTACGGGAAGCAAAGCCATGTTAGGTGTGTATGCAAAGGTAGCCCAAGTATAGCATCAGGTACCTCAGTGAGGATTGGAAGTCATCGTAGATGTATAATCATCATTTAAAGCTAAGGTTCGACTGACACAGTGATGATGATGGTAACTAAGGCCAACTGTTACCTTTGCGGGTTAATGCTCAGAGACCTAAAACACTCTCAGGCGAGATTTTTATCTTTGTTGTACGGTGGAGAAAGTTGATTATGGGCACAAAGCAGATTTTTCCAAATCAGTTTACAATAAAAATTCAGCGCAATGTAAAGAGCTGAATCTACTTTATGTGCAGAGCATTTCGATAGCAATGAGTATGTGACTTCATTTCTAAGTTTCAGCCGATGCCATTTCTGGTACAGCTGGTAACGGTAAGTATCTCAAACATGAATGTTTTTTTAAAGTCAAGACTGGATAAACTCACAAACATTACATTAAATGTTAAATTTCATTCTCACTTTGAAGGCCATTCACTCACAGCATGGATGATTTCTATGAAAAACTCCTATGCTCTAAATTAAAAACAGAACACTATAATAAAAAACTGGGATAGCTTGAATCTAAATCTCCTAACAAAGGACTGGGAAATATCTAATATTATCCCATGGAAGTGCACCTATAGTATTGATCTAGGATGGTTACAATACAGAATTATCCATAATATTCTACCTACAAAACAGCTTTTGTTTAAGATCAAGTATATAGACTCTCCCATTTGCAGTTTCTGTAAATATAACATTGAATCAATTACCCATCTATTTTGGGACCGTGAAATTGTGAAAATATCTGGAAAAACCTCCAGTCATGGCTTTTAACTGACTTGAATATTCCGTTATATTTCACAAAACAGAATGTCTTACTTGGAATTAGAGGAAAAAATAATAATCCAATTAATGCCATAATACTTCTTGTAAAGCAAGTTATCTTTAGACACAGCAGAAATTCAACTTTACCCTTTATCAGTCATGTGAAAAGGGAGATAATTAAGTATTATGACATTACAAGATATGTCTATTCTTCCTCTTGTGGTGTTGACAATTTTTTCTCCTTTTGGTCATCTCTTCATACACTTTTTCAGCACTATAAGGAGAGGGATAAATGATGTTGTCTGTCATCCTTATTTCATATAGATACAAATTGAATGCATATCCACCTGTACATTCATATGTATCTACATACATACACACATATACGTACCCGTGCATACATACATTACATACATACATGCATGCATACACACACATGCATGCACATATGCATGCATACACACACATACATACACACATACACACATACACACATACATACATACATACATACATACATACATACATACATACATACATACATACATACATACATACATACATACATACGTTGTACATACATACATACCCATACCCATGGCATCATGGTATCTGATGCCATTTGCAGACTTTTTTATAGAAATATCATTGATTGCTTTTGTAATCTTGTATTGGTTTCCATCAGAAAGGTGTGTTAGCAAGTCGCTGAAGGTGGACACTGTTACATGAGCCCATTTGTGTTTTCAGTTGCCCTGAATGTGTATGTCATCTTTTGCGTGGTGCAGTGCATCGTCATGATAATCACAGGTAAGGGCTTGTTTGTTTCCTGTATACGTATCAACCTAAGATTTACCTCTTCTTCGCGGGACATAGTTTACATACTTGGTCAGGATAAACCTCACTGTGAACCGAACACTGGTATTTTCAATTTGCCACACTTTTCAGCATGCTGTCGGTTATCAGGGTCTTGATATCACGCAGATAATGTGTCTTATCCAGCCAACACATTAGAGTGTTCTAAAATGTATTTCAGCCTTCAATGCATCTAAATGTACTTGAACATATCCTTTCACTCTCTATACCTTTATGTGTAAGTTTTGTGGCAGTAGAAAGTTGCTTTGATGTTCCTGGATGATTACACAAACATCCCGCTCATCCGTTCAAATAGTTTCTGGGTGGATATTATGGTGGTGCAACTAGAATCCAGTACCGAAACGAAACTGGCAAAATGACTGTGATATTCTCTCTATTCTTTCATGTATATGTATATTACAGGTGCGGTGTACTTCGACAACTGCCCAGGCAACATCATCCTAAACATCTATCTGATCGTGCACGGTGTCCTCCTCCTCAGCATCCCAGTCCTGCTGTGGAGTGTGTTCCGATGTGGCTGTAAGATGAAGAAAGTAAACTACTACACTGCGTGTGTCACAGCAGGAATTGTGTGCACTGGCTGGTTAATCGCAGGTTCGTCAAAGAAGCTTTATGCTTTCATATCATAGAAAGGTATGATCTTAAACTCAAGGCTTTAGTAACAAGCAGACGGCATCAAGGAATAAGAAAATTTAAATTTAAATTTAAAAAAAAAGAAGTTATATTTTCCTACTTAGCATAAACGTAGTATCTATTTCACGAAAAGCAAAATTGTGCCTATTAACGTTTCATAAATAATAAAACATACCGTTACATGTAGTGTGATATCGTTAGTATCCAGGAAAATGTTGATGCAGAGCTTTGTCACCATGACATCGGTTAGTTTGACTTGCTTAGTAATGACTCACAATGCCTCTAGAACGGTCAAATGCAACTTGTGGAAGCTCTGGTGGCTGAGTAGGTTAGTTTGCTGCCTTTCCGTCATGGCGATTTGGTGCAGTACTACGAGTGTGTGGGTTCGACTCCCGAATATAACTGAACCTAAAAAAAAAGTGTCATCCCCAAATTAGCACATGTTGCATGTTGGATAGTTCAAAGCAGATCAATTTCAAAACTATGTCACATTTTCTACTTTCCAGGAAGTAGTTTTCTCGCCGTTGCCGAATGCAAGTCATCCACCGTATACAGGATCTCCCTCGGGTTCAATGTTGTAACATGGTTGTTTTATGGAATCTGCATTCCTATTTTATGTTGGGTTCGTTATTGCACAGGGAGGGAGTGAGTTAAAAGATAAACCCCCTTCAGGATATAGCCACGAAATATCTTAGCTGCTAATTTATTCTACCGATTATAAAATATCATTTATCTATTCACAAAACATATTTTTCAATCAACTGTATTTCTTTTTAAAAACTCAATGATTAAATGATAATTCACTTTACTAAAAGGATCCTTCACAGTTTTGACACTGAAATTCTCATCCCTTGTATGAACAAAATCAATACAGTCAAACAGAACATGCTTGACCGTGATTCTTTCATCACAAGGGATAGAAAACGGATGATCCTCACCTTTTAATAACTATTCATGTGTATGGCCTATCCGACATCGTCGCATGATGACCTGCTCAAATCTGGACTGACCACCCAAGTAGTTGTAACCGATAGTTTCTTAAATTTGATGCAATTTATTTATGCCTATTTGGGTGTCCCACTTCCTGTGATGTAAGTTGTGATGTTAGCTTTGTAATCAGAGTGTAGAATAAGAAGTGGTGTCACAGATTTGCTGAGTGCTGCCTTAGCAGTAAAGTTGGCCTTTGTATTACCAGAAATGCCATCGTGCCTGGGTAACCAACAGAGTAGGGGTGAAACGGTATACCACGGTATTAGTTGAACGCTGTAGTTTGTCTTCGGTAAGGTATACCGTATTGCAATCGGAAAAAATGTTTGTTCGCTTTACCTACCGTCATTTTATTGCTCATTTTAAACCTTTACTAAAATGTCTAGAAATCGAATCAGTTGGTCAAAATGTATGCATTTCTTTGCTTGACAGCCGCTATTATCCTTGAAGTAAGTTCGAGATCGCCTTATGTCGTCTACTTACAAAGTCAGCAAGACAGCAACTGCAGATACCAAATCACTAGATGATTTCTTTTTCTTTTTCAGTTATTTCAAATCAGACGAACTGCGAAACAGCGTAATAACTTATTGCAGTCAACTTTATCATAAATACACGCCATCAGCTGAGTACTTACGATGTTTGCTGTGATGCAATACACCGTGTTATAGCGTGGGTAAACACTGCCATCCGAAAACGTATGATGTTAGAAAACACATTATAAAAGATCTTCCTCGATTTCATTTTATTTGATTAAATTTAATGCCATTTTCATTGTTAAAACTGTTTACAGTAACGTGGGAGAAAACGTGTGTGAAATGGCACCACCTCATTCTATACGCGTACCACTTCCGCTTACCCTGTTCAGAAGGGTCCACTTTTCACTCCCTCCATGATAGCACCAAATTCACATTATTCTCAGCAATCACGAACAGATTACCACCTCGTCATCAATGGACCCAAGACCCGCGTTATTGACATATTTCACAATTAATTTCCAATATTTTGTTTTTACAATCGAAGTGGCAGGTACCGCAGGAAGTCAACGGTGACTTGTCAAAGTGTCTCATACGTAAAATGTATCCAGCCACTTAACCCAAAGTTTAATTATTATGTTAAATACGTTCGAAGAAAACATACATAAAATACTAATACCATAGCGATATATACTGGTATTATCTCCGTTAGAATAACTGCTTGAAACATAAATTATTCTGGTAATGGAATAGAAATACTTTCATGTTATATTTTCAGGTCGTCTTGAACTGAATCACCAGTAGACTGGAGCAAAACATGAGTACACAGCTGATTGTTATTTCCGGCTTAGTTAAAAAAACAGGTAGCATAACAGGAAGGACAACTGAATTATCGTGTCTAGTGTTGTTAATGTTTTTACCTCGGACGATACGATGTAGTTTTGACTGGGCACAAAACACGAAATAGTAGTTCAGTAATGTCCATGGAAAATGCATTTTTACTTGGCCTTTATTCCGTGTTATGTATAACGCGGGTGTCTCATAACTCGGGGCTAATCCATCGGCCCAAAGACCGGCGTTATGGCGAGGGATAACTGGAATTATGTGTATGGATCTGGTGGCTTTCCCCTTCACAGTTCTTAAGCTTTATATTTGTTTGTTGTTGCCACCATCTCATTGCAAGCTATATCAGATCAATGAACATTTAACGACCGACAAAAAGAGAGGCAGCTTTCTCAAGCTAAAACACATTGGTTTCAGAAAGCAGAATACATTTCTTAGTGAACTTTAATAGATATTTTAAATGAATCTTAAAAGTGAACAAAACAAAATTCTGGAATGTGCCAAGGTTGTGTAGCAGTACTTCCCAGGGACTGTGGAAAGTCTCCCTATGTTTAACCGACTGAAATGAGAGATAGGCAATGATTTAAAGCAATGACAATCATTTGTCACACAGACTGTAACTGCCTTATGAAAACTGTGTTTAGTTAATTTGTTTATAAAATTTATCTGTGATATGTCATCAACAGTCACATTCGACAAGATCTGATTTGTCTATTGTTTTAGCGTTTTTTATAAAAATGAACATTTCTGGGACGTGGTGACTTTACTGACTGCAGTAAATGCTGATGTGATTTTAGTGACTTTTAATCATACTTGGCTACTTCCTATCTTGCCACACAGCTGGGAGCCCCAAGGTTCCAGTGATACTTTAGTTCTTCTATCTTGTAATGAAATGACATGTTTGTTCATTCAAAATAACAAAGATAATGGTTATTTGTTTCTCATGTTATTAAACAATGTAAGGTTTGCCTCTTGTCAATTATGAGAATGTCTCATATACCGAAATATACCTTGTACCGCAATACGTACCGTACCGTGGTAAGAGCGTACCGTTTCACCCCTTTAACAGAGGACGATGTCGTAATGGCCAGTAGCAAGATAAGTATTTCATTCAACAATTTCAATTAAAAGTGAATGGTTGCAAGAGATATTTTTAATAGCATGAAGGCAAGAAAGAGAGTCAAAAAATAGGATATAATGGTTATGTTTGGGGTATCTTTGAATATATTTAAGGGCCGTTAATATGTTGTTTTTTTGCTTTTTTCTTCTGCTGTAAAATAGAGCTATATCCACCATCCTAGGATCCATCTGTAAATAATGGGTGAGTGTGTTAATGTGTTAAGCCATATCGTGACTAAAAAAAGTTCATAATGGATAAAGGTAAATTTTATAACCTTGTCAACGAAGAACAGTAAAAGAACTAGTTGATCACAGATTCCAAATTACAACTAGTAATGAACTCTAAAACGGTTAACCTATACATGACAATACAATATAAAAACAGGCTATAAATTGCCAAAAGCTGAAAGTAGATCACCTTACAAGGGACCATGGGGAAATCTGTAAGCAAGGGTCTGTATGTATTATATTTAATTTCCAATTGATTAAATTCTTGTATATATTGTTAGTTTCTGATTTTTTTAAAGAGTTGTCAGTGTCAGGTCAACCTGTGGCCTCAGGGAGGAGAAGAAAGAAGACGCGAAAGAGCTATAAGTTCTAGCTCACTGCCAGCTGCAGCAAGGCAAGGTTTCACTCTTATACCAAGAGATGGAATAGATGGTGAGGTGAAATTGGGTTTAACGTCGTGCTTGAGAATATTTCGCTCATATGACGACGTGTATGCGTGTGTATGTCTATGTGCTGAGATACCATACCACAGTGAAGCATGAATACCCCACTCAGACACATTATACTGACTCCGAGCCGACCAGGCCTTGTTGTACCCATTAATGCCGAGCGCCATGCAGGGACTAGCAAGTACCATATTTTAACGTCTTTTGGTATGACGCGGTCGGGGATCGAACCCGCGACCTTCCGCTCTCCGGGCGGACGCTCTAACCACTACACCACGGAGGCGCTGTGTGGATGCTACACATCCTGTGGTCCGCATACCAACCACTTGCGGGGAACTCCATCAATTCTGATATCATTCCCCCAGAGACAGGCAAAGGGTGTGTAAACCTATACATAACGAGAAGACAGGATTCAGAGAGCTCCTCATCATCGTTTATCTGGCCTGGCTGGCAGGTACTGGATAAAGCTGCAGCTCGCAAGAGAAGACTCAAACTCCTCCCAGATGTCTTGGATAGGAGCAAACTTGCGCGACGATCCCTTCTTGACGCATTGCCATCGAATCTGAGCATGGACATGAGATCCAAGAACTGCCTTTTAGACATTGCAATCCTGACAACACCTGTGAATCCACCATCTACTCTTTCAGATGACCAACAGTCATCAGAACTCCTATCAGGGCCCAAATCTTATCTTCATTCGTTTCTTTTCAAATACTTTCTCCTTTGCCCCTTTCTCTCACAGTTCTCTTATCCTCTATGATCATAAAAGAAACAATATTTTAATCATGTCGTCGGTCACAAACAGTTTGAACATAACATCCTCAGAGATGTTATGATCCGCATCTGACCACCCATTGCAATGTTTGGGGTAGGTGTTTTGGCTGGTGGCAATAGAGTGGTTGACTATCTTTTCCAGCCACAAACTTTCGTCCATTTTCATGGTTATCAGTTTCCCTGCCCGGTATCACTGGATGATGTACTAAATTACTGGAAGTTGGCGCCACAAAATTGCTGTCTGTCTGTCTGCTTCATCATTGGCCTCATAGTTGCTTCAACTGGCCAAAATCTCCGCGGTCCTTCCTTCGTTTGCTTATTTGGATGTAACAAAAGCCTACAGTCAACTAGGTACCTACAGTCAACTTTCAGCACTCTCCCCAGGCCTACCAAGCCCATGTTAACACATAACTTGGGTAAAAATTAACTATGACCCAAAAACATTGATTGTTAAATAAGTGTTGATGAAAACTGTTTTGAGACTTGTATTCAGAGAACATGATGTATACATAAAATTTCAGAAATTAGTTCTTCATTTCTAAGATATAGGAGCAGAAACAAACACACGGGCTTCTAAGGCCCCGGTGAAACAGGCCAGAGTATACCCCTGTCACAGACTATACCCGGGGTTAAACTGGGCTAGCCCAGACTATAGCCCAGGTATAATCTGGGCTAGCCTAGTTTATACCCTGGGTATATTCTGGACTAGGCCATAGTATACACACACACACACACACACACACACACACACACACACACACACACACACACACACACACACACACACACACACACACACACACACACACACACACACACACACACACACACACACACACACACACACACACACACACACACACACACACACACACACACACACACACACACACACACACACACACACACACACACACACACACACACACACACACACACACACACACACACACACACACACACACACACACACACACACACACACACACACACACACACACACACACACACACACACACACGCACACACACACACACACACACACACACACACACACGCACACACACACACACACACACACACACACACACGCACATCACACATCGCACACACACACGCACACACACACACACACGCACACACACACGCACACACACACACACACACACACACATCACACACACACACACACACACACACACACACACACACACACACACACACACACACACACACACACACACACACACACACACACACACACACACACACACACACACACACACACACACACACACACACACAAAACACATCACACACACACACACACACACACACACACACACACACACACACACACACACACAGAGATTATAGCCCTACATAAAACAAGTGATTGAGGATACTACTACAATTTTATTGAACTTCTCACACAATTAAACACTGGTTACAACATTGAATTGGTCCAATACATTTTCCAGGTACAAAGCATAATCAGTCTGAAGCTGGCAGGGTGTGTTAGCCATTGCGTTGACTGGCAAACTGCACTGTGAATATAAATGTCACATCTTAACAGACCTGCTGTTGACATAACTTCTACATCTGTTGCCCACGCTCCATCTCGTGAAATTCCTGAATTAGTGATGAACTCTTTGACATTTTGGTTCAGGAAATGTTTTAGTTCATCATTAATGTCATTGTTTATATGCTGTCATCCATGTTGAAGTTTGAATGCGATATAGGAAATCAAATAAAATGCACTTTTAATACCTTTACATGACACCGAGATCAGTCTCCTGAGCCACTCGTTCATATTGACAAATACATACCAGCCCCTGATCACACCAGCCCCCTTCTGGGGCTCTAAAAGTCAAGCAAACCTTGATGATCTCCATAGACCATCAAATATAATATCCCAAAACAATAATTCCACTTTTTACCATTTCAAAAATTGTTATAAATATGTAAATATGTGCTTTTAACTTTTCAAATCAGTTTTCTCTTTTTATCAACTTCATGTTTTAACCTTTATGTATTCATCATTATTTACTACATTAATATGTTTTTGAACATAATAACAAAGTACAATCAAATTAAACAAGTTCCTGTCCTCAAGCAATAACAATAACCATATATTATACTACATCTATATTAAATTCCAAATCTCTATTACACTTTACTTATTTCATATTTTTTACTTTTTTAATTCGCCCTTCCATTTAAATGTTCCTTAATACTCAGTTGTTGTTTTTTGCGGGTAGTAACACCACGCTTTCAAAATTTCGATTTTTTGTTCCCCCTTATTTCTTAATAAGTGTACTACCCCATCGCCGAAATACCTTAGTTGTGCGTGCGACGCTAAATAAAGCAAATAACTAACTACTAACCTTGATATTTATCAACATGGCTGGGTTACGCAAAGTCGAAAATATCACATCACAGAGTGGCACTATACAAATACTTCATAAATTTTGTATTATGCAGTAATGTAAATGAAATGCACCTACAAATTCCTTTAAATGACACCAAGACCATTGCTCGGAGTCACACACTCATAATTTGTAAGGGTATAGTCTGGGCTGGAGAGAGGTATACTTTGGCCTGGTCCAGAATATACCCCTGGGGTGCATAATCGGTAGTCTAAGATAAGGGTTAACAGTTTCTACATTGAAATACTTATCCCTTGTGATGGCAAAATCAATACAGTCAAGCAAAACATGCTTGACTGTGATTCTTTCATCACAAAGGATACAAAACGGAGGATCTCCACCTTTTAATAAGTATTCATGTGTATATCTTGTATGGCCAATGCGACATCGTCACATAATGACGTCTTCAAATCTGGACTTACAACCCAAGTAAGTGTAACCAATATAGGGTTCTATTTCATGTAATTTATTTACACTCACATGAGTGTCCCACATTTTTTGTATCAGATCACGGATGTAAGATCCGATAGCAGCTTTGTAATCAGAGTACGGGATCAGAAGTGGTGTCACAGATTTGTTGAGTGCTGCAAGGTCGGCCATTGTGTTCCCAGAAATGCCAACGTGACTGGGTAACCAACAAAGGACGATGTCGTTTTGGCCAGTAGCAAGATCATTATATAATTCAATAAGTTCTATTAAAAGTGGATATTTGCAAGAAAGATATTTGATAGTCTGAATAGATTATATATTCTTTGTATTTAGGTTGTCTTTCAATATATTTTAATATGTTAATATGGCGTTTGCTTCTGCTTTGAAAATTGAGCCGTGATCTGGTAATTGAGAGGGCGGGGGCGGGGGTGGGGTAGGGGCGTCCCATAATGCAGGGTCCATGATTCTGGTAAAATAGAGAGAGAAACGTGAGGTGGCATGTGCGTCTTCTGAAGTCGTGGTGGCACCCGTGAAGAGCCACCTCATCGTGGGGGTGCTGGGTAACACTAAGCGCTCTTCAACCCTGGAGACCCACAAACATAAGGCATCGTCCTTGTTGACACTCCATGGTGGGCGGGGAGCTAGGAGGGTGAATTGTATTCAATACAACCATGGCACCCCACTTGAAACACGTTCACACGATCCGATGATTCGTGTTCTTCGGAGGATGAAGCTTCTGCTGTTTTAACAAACCCTCATACCTGGTCTCGTTTTCTTGTGATGTCAGCACCAGATGGTGGCGCTCTGAAATTAAATCCTTTTGCCGTAGCGAAAGGCATCGAAGGTTCAGTGCTTATTGAGTGTCGAAAATTGATACAATCCCAAATTTCAGTGCTTCTTGTCCAAATCATTAGCTAATGTTCCAGTGGAGGTGCAACTCACAGGACATTGAACAGCAACAAAGGCATCGTTCGTGATATTGTTAGAGTTTA